ACGTTGTTTGTGAGACTCTCGAACTCAGTGCAATTTGAACTCAGTGACATTCAAGTGCTAAGGATCGATCACGATGAGTGACAAGGACGAAAAATCCGCCAAGGCAACGCCTCAAACGCCCAAGCCGGGATCGAGATCGGCTTCATCGGCGCCTGTTGCAGTAACGCTGGCAGTACCAACGGTACTTCCTGCAGAAGCACCTCCACCAACGGTGGAAAAGTGCACAGCGCGCTCCTCATCACCTTCTGGTCTGCCTATCGAGCTCGAGTGCAAGTCTCGCACCCAGCTGGGTAGGGTGGAGACTTTGAAGACCATGATTGATCATCTGCCTGAGACGACCATGGAAACATCCCTCCACGAGGTGAAGGCCTACCTGGACCAGGTTGAGGAAGTACATAAGGCCTTCCAGAAAGAGCACTCGTATCTCGAGGTAACGTGGTCCAAGGGCCACTTCACTCACGATTATTTTATCGATAAATGGTATGAGCATGAGATGTGCGCCGTGTTCGAGCTGCGACGCAGATTGAACAAGCTCAAGGCTGTTTTAAACATAGAGGCTTCAATGGCCGCCAATCTCAGCAGCAACGCTGCTGCCACACGACGGCCAACGAAACTGCCGGAAATAACATTACCGACATTTTCCGGCCATTACGAGGCGTGGCCTGCCTTCAGTGATTTATTTGAATCAATAATCATCAGCAACGCTGAGATTTTGCAAGTGGAGAAGCTGCACTACTTGCGCTTATGCCTCCGAGGTGACGCAATTAAGGTCATCTCTCAACTGCCGTTCAAAGGAGACTCCTTTCCAATCGCATGGGCAAAGATGAAGCACCGCTTCGAAAATAAACGTGTGATTGTTCAGTCGTTGTTAGATAAAATGTTCACAGCTCCTCCAATGCACCAGAGGACAGCGGTGGCACTCCACAACGTGGCGTCGATTCTGAGGGATCTCAACGACTCCCTCAGGGCACTGGCAACGCCAGAGGAGTTGTGGAATTGCGCGTTAGTACACCGTGCTTCGCGCAATTTAGACAAGGCGACACAGGAAGCGTGGGAGACTTCCCTCGGCACCTTTGCCAAATTTCCAAAACCCGAGCAGCTCGAGGATTTCCTCACTACGAAAGCCAGAGCGCTCGAAAGAGTTGTGCTGCCAACGGCACTTCAACAACCTACTCAAGCGCAAGCAGCAAAGCCAAAGGCAGCAGGACAACGTCCTTCTCTCACCGCACAGGCAAATCAGGCGGCAAGATCAATCTCACACGCCTATCCTTACGATTTCTGCCAAACTGATCACTTCGTGGTGTCGTGCACGAAGTTCCGTGCATTGCCTGTACCTGAGCAACGCAAATTGATTGATCGACTAGCACTGTGTCGAAATTGTTGTGGCCGACATCTCACAGCAAACTGCAAGTCTGAACACTGGTGCAAGACTTGCGGTAAGGCGCACCACTCACTGCTACACCTACCAGCAACGCAGCCAACGGCTCCTGTGCAGCAGCAGGAGGCGACAACGTCGTCCTCCACAACTCAAACCAATTAAAGCTTCGGTGCAGTCGTCGCTCCACTCTTCACCATCTCTACGGGTCAACGATCCACCACAATAACAACCGCCTTAACATCTGGTCAACGACCAAGTGCGCCTGCAACGCAGGCCAGAAGCACGTTGTTGGCAACAGCAAATGCACAAGTCATCACATCATCTTCTGCCTACAATGTAAGGCTGCTCTTCGACTCCGGATCGGAGCTCAGCTTCGTCTCTGAAGATCTCGTCGAACAGCTGGGACTTCAACGCACTCAATCTTCAATCTCCATCACTGGCATTGGTGGCAAGAAATCAACACAAACTGGAGGTATTGTATTACTCAATTTACAATCTCTTTACAATACCTCATCAATCTCAATACAACTGCATATTTTACGAACTTTAACTGCAACTTTGCCATCTTCTGAGGCACCCCAGCAAGATTGGCCACATCTCAACCGTCTCAAGTTGGCAGATCCTGAGTTTTACAAACCAAGATCGATCGACATAATCATCGGTGCCGACAATTATGGACGAGTAATAAAATCAAATCTAGTTAAAGGTTCGCCATCAATGCCAGTCGCCCAGCTTTCAATCTTCGGATGGTTCATTATTGGACCAGCAAGCACACTTTAAGATCATGCTTACTCGTCATTCAACGCATCAATCTCTCAAGACAGCGACGCTGCTTTGAGAGAATTGTTGACGAAGTTCTGGGTTCAAGAGGAGCTTCCAACGGAAACAACATCTCAACTCACACCTGAAGAACAAGAGTGTGAAAATCACTTACTTGCAACGCATGGACGTGATTCTACTAGGCGATACGTGGTGCGTAGTCCTCTCAAATCAAATACTAAAGTCTTGAGCACTTCTTACAGTACTGCTCGTTCCTGTCTGTGAACAATACCAACGGTTCATGAAGGAGTACGAGGACCTCGATCATATGAAAAGAGCTTCTTCAATATCGCTCAACGACACGTCAATCTACTATCTCCCTCATCACGGAGTTTTCAAGCCTGACAGCGAAACAACAAAGCTGCGGGTTGTCTTCAATGGCTCAAGTCCAACAACAACTGGACTTTCTGTCAACGACATCATGCACACTGGTGCGAATCTCCTGCTCAACATCACCGACGTTTTGCTGTGGATTCGTCATCACAAATGCATCTTCGTCACGGACATCACAAAGATATACCGTCAAGTACGAGTACATGAAGACGACTGGAATCTCCAACGGATACTGTGGATTGCTGAGGAATCTAACGAAGTCCCATACACACTAAAAACGGTCATCTACGGTACCAAAGCTGCACCATTTTTTGCTGTCAGAGCCCTGTTGCAACTTGCAGAGGACGAGGGTCAACGCTACCCACTGGCAGTACCATCAATTAAATATGCAAGGTATGTCGACGACATATTGGGAAGATGACAATCTCCAAAGTATCGAATTTTTTAATTTGTTTCTAAAGTACAGATGATATTGGAGTCGTGTATGTTGAAATATGATTTTTTTTATTCTGCTAAATAATTAAAAATAAATAATAAAGATGCACAATTTTTCAAAAATTCACGTGCCGCGAAAACGCTCTCTGATTGGCTGATGCATCAGTGACGTCAGAAGGCATATAAAGTACCGCTATACCATGCCATACCACGCTACACCACGCTACACCCAGTTATACTCCAAATATTATTTGTTATTTATTATTATTTGCTTCATATATTGAAGTAAAATGGATGAACCGGGATTCGTGAAAGCTGATTCAACAAATTTACCCAACATCGATGTGTTTATGATGGCTGAATTTGTGAAAAACGATGATAGGTACAATGCAGCTGAGATACGATTAGTGAAAGCATCATTGTAAGTAATAATAAAGTACACATATTGATCAATAAATAATGGTAACATGAATAACAATGATTTTAATAGCTTGTAATACGCTCAAAAATATTGTCAATATAGATCTAGTCGGGAAAGTTACGGAGACAGTGCAATAGGCTACGTTTGCTTACGGAGAGAGTCGTCTATCTGCACAATAAAAGGCAAAATATGTCCAGAGCATCGAGTAAAAAGCAAAAGATATGCAGTAACTTTGGTGGTAAACGAAGCAGATGAAAGTATACAAGAAGTAAATTGTGAAGATTGTGCTGCATCGCAAGGTAATATCCTATATTTCTTCTTAAAACAGTAAGTTATGTATTGTAAGACACGTTAACATTGCTTGTATTAATATTTGTAAAAATGTTGTATGGTATATAATATATAACTGTCTTTCTTCTTTTAGGAGGATGTAAACATGCATTAGCATTTTTAATGTGGCTGGAATAAACCAATGTTAGGAACAGTTGGGACAACAAAGAAATTTGTAGAAGCAACAGAATTGTGCAAGAAAGAAATTCCGAGCACTATTCTACCCGACAACTCAACATTTTTAGAAAATATTTTAAAGAAAGCTGAAGAAAAGCAGATAGATAGCCAGCTATCTAGACATAACTTCCAATTATTAGAGCGAGAATGTTACTCATTATCGTTACATCAGTTGGTAATAGCATTCCTTAAGAATGGAAGAAGTGGTGCCAATGATTTTACACAATTTGCTACGTCAAAAATGACAGCACAATTGATTTCAAAAGTGGAAATAGAAACAAGGCAGCAAAGCGAAAGTTCTTTGTGGCATGAGCTCCGCTATGGCAGAATTACTGCATCTGTTATGCATGAAGCAGCTCATTGCAAAACTACAGATGGGAGTTTCACCAATAAAATTCTTGGTGCAGCAAAGAAATTTGATTCGGCCTTAACACGACGAGGAAAAAATTTAGAAAATTCTGTTATTGCAGAAGTGGAGAAATTAATAAATAAAAAATTGAAGAAATGTGGTATTATATTGATACCACAATGCCCAATGCTAGGAGCCTCTCCAGATGCAATGGGAGAAGATTTTGTGGTTGAGGTGAAATGCCCCGGTTCGGAAAAAACGTTCTCCCAATATATATGCAATAACGTAATAACGTGCAAATATAAAGCACAAATCCAAACACAAATGTTTGCTACAAAAACAAAAAAAGGATTATTCTGTGTCGCAGATCCAGAATTTGAAACAAGCAGGAAAGTAAATTTATTATGGGTAGATTTTGATGAAAATTATACAGCAGATGTAGTAAATAAAACAATCAGTTTTTGGAAAGAAAATATTTATCCAAAAATGCAACATTCAATTTTAAAATAAAAGTTAAAATAAAATATATCATTGCAAACAAAATAATTTTCTTTTCTACCTCACTTTACCATTACCATTCATTTCCAGGTACTAGGAGATATAAGTAACAAGATATCTTTTTTTAAGGAAAAAATATTATATTTACATAAATTACATTATTAAGACATAAAATCAAGTTATCAGGATTATCATATATCATGTATCAATAACTGGGTTTTGCAAATTGATTAAGGCAGATGCTATTTTTACTACTGAATCTATATACGGTATTGTATAATGATCAATAGTGGCATGTGGTTCCAGCAGTGCATATATTCTCTAATTCTTCTGATCACTCTTTCAACGTGAATTCTTAAACTCGCAATGCGTTTAGTTAATAATACTTCTTCTTTTGAAGATTTTTGCTTAGTTGAGACAGACGGAGGTCGAACAAGTTCAATTTGTTTCCTTTGTAGGATTGTTTGAATTTGTTTGAATCCTCTATCCGCCATTATTTGGCATTTATCTGGCAACACGTCCATTATTTTGCTTTGATCAAACAACTCCACATCACTAACTCTGCCTCCATATCCCGTTGAAATTAATGTTATTAGTCCATCTGCTGATATACAAATCAAATACTTTAAGGTATTGCATTTTTTGTATTCTGACCAGGTTAGAGCTTGATGTAACGCATTCTGTGGTTTTTCAATTTGAATTTCAAAACAATCAATAATACCAGCAACTTCACTAAAATTTAACCTAAATGGTATTGGTAGGTTTTTTTTCAAATTCTCCTTATCAGGATAATAAATTAATGTCTTTAGGACATGTGCAATTTTGTGGACACTTCTTTTAAATACTTTACTTGCACCACTTGTAGACAATCCAAATTGGTCACCTAATCTTTTGAATGTATCATTCTTTTTAATTTTCATGAGTGTCAATTTAATATTGTCACTTGGTATTTCAGTGTCTCTCTGTATATCTTCAACGATCCATAGCCATTGCTTCATGATACCAATATAATTTTTGGGATCAGTCGATATAAAATAATTAATTAAGCGAAGAGCAGCTTGCTTCATTTCCAAATCTTGTTCCTCTGCTAAATCTGATAATTCTCCTGGTGATGGGTTATACTCACTATGACTAAGACTAGATTTGGAGGTAATAGTGGCAGATGCACTACTAGAAGATGTGGTAGGCAGATTTATTGGCGAACATTGTTTATCGACCATAATTGGTTTTGCTAAACATCCTGCTGTAGACGTAGAAGGTTTAGCAGTTATTGCCTTGCTCCTAAAATGTTTTTTCATGAGAGTCTGCTCAGGTTCCTTATTTTTTATTACTGCAGTGACTGTTTCTGCAGTAACTGTTTCTGCTGTTGTTTCTTCAGGTGCAGGTAAATATTCCACTTGTTTGGAAGATGGTCCTGCATCGGTATCAAAATTCGGAGGACAATTCTCATCTGCCAACATCTCTGCAACTGTTCGTTTTCTGTTTAATTTTACGAAGCCAGGTCGAGGTTCAGAACTTTTGGCAGTATTGCGACCGGGATGGCAATCAAAAATATGTGGTACCACACCCTGCTTCATCCTAATTGAACCCCCCATCAGTCTGTAGCGGGTATAATTTTCCATGTCTTCCTGTAAGTTAAAATGATCTTCACAACAGTAGTAGTTTGAGTTTGTTGGTTGATCTGTTCGATGAGCTGCCTTGAACCACAAATTCCGCACTTTTTCATTTCTCGGTACTTGAATAAAAAGTTTTTCTGGATTTTTCAGTTGTATACTTAAACACAATGGTACAAAGCACCAACGGTACGTCTGTTGTTTACTCATACTTGCAGATTTTTAATAATTTCGTTAGTTCGCTATGTAAACGTATACGCTTTATTCGGGGTTATATGCCATATGACGTCACCGGCTAGTACGTGGTTTTACCGCGTTTTTGGTCGATTCAAAAATCATAATTTTTAATAATTTTTTTCTCAGTCATTTTTGCATTTAAAAATCACAAACAAAAAATTACAATACAAACCAAATATAAACATTTGAATAAAAATATTTCTGAAAAATGGTATTCTTCCCTATTAACTGACTTGTGCAACGCGGGCGGTTTTCCTCTTGCAAAGTGGCACTCAAACGAAGCCGCTCTGCTTGAGGCCATCGTGCCTTGCAACAATTCTCAGGGCACATCAATCTCACTAGACGACTGCAATACCAAAATACTCGGATTGCGATGGAATACTGTCAACGATAGCTTCACATTTACATCAAAATCTCACCACAATCTCAATTTCACAAAACGCCTTGTATTATATGAAGTAGCACAGATATTTGATCCGCTTGGCTTTTTGTCACCAGTTATTATTCGAGCGAAGGTACTCCTGCAAGAATTATGGCTTCTCAATCTCAAATGGGATGATCCACTGCCATCCCATATCAGTACACGATGGATTGCAATCAGAGAAGATCTTACAAGTCTGGCCAGACTCTCAATACCAAGGTGGTTCAACACCTACAACAATTCTACAGTGGAACTACACGGCTTCTCTGACGCATCACAACTCGCCATGGCAGCAGTAATTTACATTACTGTTTTTTCGTCGTCCACAGATCTCAAGGTGACATCACTGGTGTGCCCCAAGACGAAGGTCGCGCCTCTCAAAAAACTTACAATTCCCCAACTCGAGCTCACAGCTGCTCTGATGCTGGCAAAATTACTGAAGTACTTTCAAGCAAATCTCAAGCTCGAAATTGCTACAACACACCTGTGGACGGATTATCAAGTGACACTTACATGGATCAAATCTCACGCATCACGGTGGAAAGACTACATCAGGAATCGTGTAACACAAATTCAAGAATTGACGCAAACTGCAACTTGGATGCACGTTCCTGGTACATCAAACCCTGCTGATTGCGCTTCAAGAGGATTAACAACTACACAGCTTGAACAACACGAGCTATGGTGGAGGGGACCACCATGGCTTTTACAATCTCAGGAATCATGGCCTGTATAACGCAACGCATCTGACGACACTTGCCTGCAGGAGTGTCGTCCAGGAATCTCGCACGTATTGATGTGCCAAAAAATCGAATATCACTGGGACTTGATTCACAAATATTCTTCTTTACAAAAACTTTTTCATGTTACCTCAGTTTGTTACAGGTTCATTTCCAAACTGAGAAAGGCAACTGCTTCAACGAGGCTCTCAAACACGCCAGCTGATTTGGAAAGGGCTAAAATCTTCTGGATCAAGGCCACTCAATCAGCATACTTCACACACGAGCTCAAGATGATGGTCAACAACCAAACGCTGCCATCGTCTCACACCTTCAGTCGACTCACGGCCTTTATTGACGATCAAGGGGTCATTCGAGGTGGAGGAAGATTTAACAACGCTCAGTTAACCTACGAAGGTAAACACCCTGCAATCCTTCCACGTCACTCACGTCTGTCCGAATTGATTGTAGATCACTCTCACAAAGCAACATTTCATGAAGGGACACAACTTACACTCGCTCACATCAGGCAGACCTACTGGATCATCGGTGGACGAGCTTCAGTTAAATCTCACATCCTGCGGTGTGTTGTGTGTGCTCGGCAGAAGGGGATCCGTGCCCATCAACTGATAGGCCAACTACCTCTCTCTCGGGTTACACCCTCACACCCATTTTCACACACCAGCGTGGACTACGCCGGTCCCATCACACTCAAGACGTGGAAGGGACGAGGAGCGAAGACACAGAAAGGATGGATCTGTGTTTTCGTTTGCATGACAACATCTGCTGTTCATTTGGAATTGGTCGCCGACTATTCAACGGATGGATTCGTTGCCACGTACCAACGGTTCGCTGCATGAAGAGACATTCCACACACCATCTACTCCGACTGCGGAACGAATTTCATCGGAGCAGATTTAGCACTGAAGTCAATGTTCATCGAGGGCACTCAAGACAATCAACGATTGGCCAAGCTGTTCGTCAACGACCAAACAACTTGGAGTTTCAATCCACCTGCTGCACCGCACATGGGAGGAAAGTGGGAGGCAGTGGTCAAGTCCGTCAAATATCATCTCAGACGTACGGTGAGTGACGCTTTACTCACCTTTGAAAAATACTACACTCTTCTAAACCAGATTGAAGCAACACTCAACTTTCGACCACTGGAGCCTCTTACTGATGACCCCGATGACCTATCAGTGCTTACACCAGCGCACTTCCTCATTGGAAGAGCCATCTCGACATTGTCTGGGCCATCTGTTGAACAGGCCAACCTCTCGCCGAGAGCCAGATGGCACCTCATCCAACAAAAACTACAACAATTCTGGAAGCGCTGGTCAGCTCAACACCTTCAACGAATGCAGTCAATTTCGAATTGGCATCACCCTTCCAACAACATCAACGTTGGATCACTGGTGCTGCTTACAGACGAGCGCTTCCCACCATGCAAGTGGCCTCTTGCTCGAGTGCTCGCAGTTCACCCTGGACCAGACGGACTGACGAGGGTTGTTACGATCAAGACGGCCACCACAACTCTAACTCAGCCAATTGCAAAATTGGCTCTACTACCAGTAGCACATCAGAACTCATCACCATCTTCTACGAGCTGCTGATGGCGGGCGGAATGTTCGAAAATGTAATTTCTACCGCCTTCACGCGGACCGCGGCAGCACTCTGCAGCGCGACCGACAGCCACCTTGGATGGAGCCACCGATCAGGGAGCGTTACGTCAGCAAGAAGAAGCCAACGGTTCTTGCTGCGACGAAGCCAGTTGATCGGCCATTATCGTTTCGTTCTGCATTGCATCGACACGTGCGACACGCAATTTAGAAAGATTACAGAAAAAGTGCTCAATTTCGAACAATTCACGATTGTTTAACTCGCGCGAATCAGCCAACGGCCTTCGCGACAGCGAAAACGTGTGTGTTCGCGTAAAACCCATATAATTAATACAATTATACGGTGCCACGTGTTGCACCAACACGTGGTTCTAATACAGCTCAAACTCTTGTTCATCGCAACGCAAGTGGACGTGAATATGATCAAAGATCCTCGATCAACGATCCGCGATCAACGATCCTGTGAATTTGTACATATTGTAGTCTTGATTGTTGTAAATATACTTGTGATTTCGTGCAACCACAGTGTAAGGTTTCTCGCCCGTCTCGCCGCCAATCTCATCACACCGAACCGGTTTCGAGCGCCTGAATTTTCGAACTCAATTTTGAACACGGTGATTTGAGTTCGATGAATTGTCTTTCGATGAACTGGATGTATACCGCCAATTTTGGCATTGCCATATTTCCAAACATTCCGCCCGCCATCAGCAACTGGTTGATGATGAGACTAAATCTGAAACTGAGATAGGCAATAGCGCCAATTTTGATATTGGCCGAGTCAACGTCATTGTTGTAGTCTTTATGGTTATAATGCGAGTTGGTCCATCTTGTCCAGGATGCACTGCAAAAACACGAGCGTGTGGTCACTTGGAAGAAGGATTTTAATTACTCGTAAAGGATTAAAGTTATAGGATGCAAAGATGTAGGTTAATGAGCCTAATAGATTACCAACTAAATAAACAATATTAGCAATCATTATAATTTAAACAACTGAAACAATATTTATTAATAATTTCTTACTATAACATTCTGTTTCACTGTCCCGTTCTTTCCTAGAATTCATTAATAGCATTTTAGTCGCAAGATGTTATATAAATTAATTAAAGTAAAATTTTTTTACGATTTTTTGCGTTAGACGTAACGCAGGGGCCATGCTATTTATATGATGATTCCTAGGATGTTCCAAAATTAGGTCGAATCCTGTGGAGGAATGATTGCTCAGATGATTCCAAACAACATTTTTCATTTAAATGTTGGTTAAGGCTTCGCTTTCGGATTATTAACGGCAAACACTGTCTAATCAGAGCGCGCGTATAGCGCGGGCTGAGCGGCGAGAGTGTTGGGTATGCTCTGCGTTCGAACCGTGGTCGTGATCAAGTGCATAGATACCATGTCAGTGTAATAGAATTCGTTGGGCAAAAGTTGTATGGAATAATGAATAAGAATAAAGAAAAGAATAATAGTATCGAATTATTCGTTGCTCATGAACAACGAATAAAGTAACAAATCGTTGTTTATAAATAATGAATAAATCGAATTGATCCAACACTTTTATTCGTTGTTTGGAATGGATAAAAAAAATACTTTGTAGTCACTTTTCGAGGAAGGAACACATTACGAAGAATAGTTGATCTCCAGACGGGATCATTGAATTCAGTCAACCACACGGTCACTATCACTTTTGGCAGAATTTCAATACGTGGTCCGAAAGGGACCGATTCTTTCAAGTAAATAAATATTTTTATTCACTGTCACATCACCCAACGTGTCCTATTACACTGACGTGGTATTGATGCACTTGATCACGACCACGGTTCGAACGCAGAGCATACCCAACACTCTCTCCGCTCAGCCCGTGCTATACGCATGCTCAACGCGTGCTCTAATTGGACAGTGTTTGTCGTTAATAATCCGAAAACGAAGCCTTAACCACCTTGTTTGGAATTACTTCAGCAATTATCTCTCCACGGGATTCGATCTAATTTTGGGACACCCTGTATATAGCGCCAGCTTAGAGTGACATTTAACAGAAATAGAAAAGGACAGTTTTCTCACTTTTATCCATAAGTCTGATAAGGAGACTGTTATGAGAATTGTAAGGTATGGCCACACGATCAAATCAGGCTTTCCCTAGTTCAGAACAATAGACCCCTTCTTGCGAAGAAGGAGCCATCTTCAGTTCTTCTGGCGTCGAGAAAGCTTATATGATACATATTAATTATTTTACAACCGAGTTTCAAAACGAGTTCATTATTGATTTCACTTGTTATCAATCGAATCAGCTTGTTTTTATGAAGAACGATTTACTTGGGAAAATTTTCTTTATTATAAGATACAAAAATACATTTTGTGAATTAGGCATAATGTTTCGAAACTGTCAAGTGTCAGATTTAGTGAAGAATTTTTTCTTCGGAAAGCTTGATTTGATTTAATTTCAGGTGTACCATTGATTTCGTATCACTTTTTCCTCCCTTTAGGTGTGTTTGTAAAACTATATGTATATTATACGAAACTCGAGAGATACTTGTATCGTAGAAGCTATAACACGGCAAAGGACAATGCTTTTCATTGTCAGTCACGCATCTAACACACTCACATATGTACAGGGTGTTTTAATGGGTACTGATAGACTTTAATCGTTTAAAAGTACCAAGTAGTTTTGCAAGCTTGCTATCTTAGAATGCAAATAATTAGATAATTAATAGAAATGTAAAATTAAATGGCAGAGTTATCGCATCACATAATGCATTCTGACACAAAGCAGAGGCGCGATCACACCGCCTGACATTTTTCGACCGGACATTTACAAAAATCCGTGCCATACAAACAATTAAACAGGAACAACAGTTCAAGGAAACACGCCACCTATTTGAAACTATGTGTGCATTATCTGCAGACTTAAGGAAAATTGCACAAGTTTTAGAAATGCATCGCAACAATTTGAAATTTAATGAACATGGAATATTATTTGATTGAGGAGCGTATTTTTTTAGTGAAGATTTTTCATTTCTATGATGAAAGTGTTACAGCTTATCTTAGGAGGTGAAGTAGTGCGTTCAAAAACCTAGGTAAGCTAGCAACAGACACTAAAGATTTTTTTCAAAAAATTTGAAAGACTTGGTTCTGTAGCTGATGATAAGATTGGAATCAGGACAAAACAAAGATCAGCTCGGACTACTGAAAATACCGAAGAGGCTCAAAATATTTTAGAGAAAAAGCCAAAAACATCAACCAATTAATTGGCTTAACAACTTAACGTTAACACTGCCACTACTTGGAGCATATGAAGGGAAAATTTGGATGTTCATTCATAGGTATAAGATTCAAGCCGTTTAGCCTTTAGATGAACAAGCAATACAAAAAAGATACGAATTTGCGAACGTTATGTGTAATATGACCGATTAAAGTTTCGGATGAAGCCTACTTTTGATTAATGATTATGTAAATGGATACAACTATCGATTCTGAGGTACACAAAAGTCAGAGTTTGCTGTTATTTGTCCTCTTCGCCCCAAAAAAATTACCAGTTGGTGCGGTTTCTGGAGCGATGGAATCCTTGGGTTGTGTTCTTTCGAGCAAACTGTCAACTCGGAACAATATTGGAACGTGCTGTCTAATCGTTTAATGTCAGATGCTTACCATAAGAACTGGGTAGAAAATTACTACTTTCAACAAGATGGTGCACCACCACACATAACAAATGATGTTCTGGATCTTGTACGCTTTCATTATGGTGATCGCGTCATTGGCAAAATCTTTCTCAGCTGATTTGGTAACGAAATTGCTTGGCCATTCTATAGCCCTGACTACTTCATGAAGCTATGCGAAAGAAAAAATTGATCAGAATTGTCCCAAAATACTGGAGGGGCTAAAAGAAGCGATAATTTACATAATAAGAGGAATTCCAACATCATTCGTAAATAAAATTATTGATAATTTTGAGCAACGAATGCGCTACATCATCTTCCTTGACAGTAGATATTTGGAAAATATAAGTCATTAACTGCCTACTTAAAGAAGTCTAATCTCTACAATTTTCAGCCCACTTAGCCGTCTCTTTTAAAAGTTATTTCTAAATAAACTTCATCAGTACCCATTGAAACGCCCAGTACAGTTGGACAACTAGCATCAGTCGTTATTTTGTTTTTCGCAAATAGTACTATAGTAATATGTTCAGGTAACGGCATTCCCATTTCTTCGAAGAGGAATCTCTTAAACTTTTTATAATACCTAAAATTAGAAAAATTTGATATTTTTAAAATTTTGAGGTAATGACCTTCATAAATTTTTATTGTTACACTATCTGTTTTCTAAAACCAAAGAACCTATTTTTTCAAACGGTTTTTATTTAATAACAATAGAAATTATTCACAAGATTAAAATAAATTCTATATTTAGTATTTTTAGATAAAATACCCTGTACTTACTACTATTGGCACTTAACAAATACCTTATCAAAATTATTATTCTAATTATATAAAGTTATTCATAAATGTGCTTAACATAAATTCAAAGCGTGAATACAGTGAACATCAGTTCTTACAGTAGAAGAAATTATTTCATAATTTATTAAGTTATGTAATCTAAACATCAATAAATGGATCACCTATATTCAACTACGTATCATCTAGGGATTAGAAAGCAAATTAAAATAATAAATGCTGACCAATTTTTAAATGTTCCTGCAGATGCACAATATAAATTGTCTCTATGATAATAGGTTGCAGGTGGGTGTTCATCTCCTGGCTTGCAATGGTCGTGTTTTTCTGTTAGTTCCACCTAAAAAAAATGATAGAAATGTAAATATTATTTGCATCATACTTGAAGCAAGAACGATAATTTGAATTAAGAAGGAAACATTAAACTTAGATTTAAGGTCCGTTTATAATCGTATAGATATTAAATGTACAGAGGCATAGCGTGGCAGATGACACGATTTCTTTAATGCGATATTCCTTCAAATGTATTTTAGAAATTGTATGATTTTGAATCTGATATTTATTGTATAAGGGTGCAGAGGTAAGCATTGAACAGTCGATCATAGTCCTCTAACCAGAAGGCAGCCTTGCCTTCTCCATTCCGTGGCATATACGTCACAATCAGTGCTGCTATTGTTTGAAGTAATGGTTCCTAAAGTGAAGGGGATAATGGTAAATTAAAATTAATTTGGGGGTGTGTAGACAACGTCGGGGGATCTGCGAAAGGATTAATATCATATAAATTAAAATAATTGTGACCCATTTTCATTATTATGAAAGTTAAAAATAAATACCAATAAATTCATAGCCATTTCTACATCCTGAATAAAATATAAATACAGATAGGTATATAAAATACAATTACAGTAAAGACTCTATAAGTATTCGAAAGGATCTATCCGTTAAGTGTTCGCGGTTTGTCCCCCACCACGGGCGGATTCACCTTCGTAGTAAGCACGGGAATACTATGACAGGGCGCGACTTTCCTTTGAAGATCTGTATCGCATTCGTATCGGTAAAACGGCACAAATGTAGCGATGAAACTTTTATTTTTCATTTTCTTTTTTTTTTTAAATAATTTCACTAACATATTGATGAGATTTTCCTGATTAAAATGAGAGTTTGGGATCATATGCGTAGGAAAATTAATTAAACACTCGCGTTGTAGGAATAAATAGTTTATATAATGAATTGTAAAATACAATTACAAGGTTTACCCTTGCACCGAACTATGTTACGGGACGTAAGTGAAGAATGATAAGAAGTCTCCGCCGGGTTAGCTAGTCTTTATATAGCCTAGGCCAACCCTGAATATTTCTGGAGAGGGACAGGAAAGTTTTTCCTTAAACGACGCTAAACGCTTTAGTTTTCCCGCGCAACGACTTTATTGCTCTTTGTGTTAAAGGGCCATCTGTTTATGCTCGAACCTCGCTTTCTCTTTACACAGGAGAAAACTTCTTCCTGTTTGCGTCGCTACAAGAACAAACACGATATTATTGTAATAATTTTAACTAATCTGAATAATCTTAAAATAATTTACTTTCTGTGAATGCTCGCTTCGGATGGTAAATTAACGGCGAATTAATAATTAACGTTATATGTTAGGTATTCAATACAAAGGACAGCTAGCAATAATCATTAATTCAGTTCTATAACAAGAGAACTTAACAGTTTTTTGTTTCGCGATTAATTATATGTGATTTCTAATTTTCTTATTAGAGTATGTAGCGCGAATATGCTTAAAATATATTATATGTATAGCCAAGTAAGACATACGAATCCCGCGTCTGCCGCGCGCCGAGGACTTGCAGGTACTACCATAAAATACCTCGCGCTCGGTCATACGCGCCCCTAATTAGGCGGACGAAACTATGGAAACCAGTATAAATACCGGGTAAAACTGCCCAAAAAGTCAGTTAGGCATTTGAAAACATCCTAAGCCAGACCTTCCTTGGAGCAACCGGACCTTAGCGGACCAGGCTCTCCACTACCTAAAAATCCTATTGCAGAGCAGCCGGACCTTCGCGGACCAGGCACTCTAAAAATCCAATCGCACTCTAGAAAACCTACCTTGTGAAGTAGCCGGACCTTTGCGGACCAGGCTCTTCAATATTAGCAAGACTATCCGACTTTTCGTTTAAAGCCTCAGATTCTCCTCCAACGACTCTCTAAAAAGTCACAACCATACCCTTAGCCGTGCCTCTGCAATGTTTTAATTAACCAAGCGAGGCGCTTCGCTTACAAGTAATTTTTTAAAGTATGTATAATTTTGAAATTATTTGCAATTTTTTGTAAGAATAAATAATTATAATCAGAAAAATTTCATGTATTCATAACATTTTTATTTAAAATACGTACTGTATAAATAAAAATATGTCTTTGTTGCATTAGTGTTGTTTTACGAATATGTGAACATTTCATTTTTAACTTTTATAATAGCTCCGAATCCATCTTCTCCTTTTATCTAGTCTCTTTCTAGGTTGATGTCGGCATAAAATAATTTTTAACAAAAAATACAACCGACTTCAAAATGCGCTAGAAAGTGTAAAATAATTGCTATTTCATTTATGTAGGAATAAAATGGGTTTACGTATTTATTCCTTTATTGCAAGACAACGGGACGAGGTAAACGATAAAAAGTTCAGACAATTCACACCACAACAAGACACATGCGCCACAGTACATAAAAAGGTATCGCAATCCGTAATCGTAATTCCGTGTTCGTGAGCCGTTCGTCGTAATCGTAGTCGTACCGTATCGTGTTTATTCATAATCGTAATCCGTGTTCGTAAGCCGTTATCGTAATCGTGATCGTATCGTGCCGTGTCGTAATCGCGTCGTGGTTTCGTAAAATCTGACTCCCGCGCCGCGGACGCGTCCTTATATCCCCGCGGCGGTCGAATATTCTCGATGTTTTTCCCTTTGAATGTTAATCGTTAACGCAAACGGATTTTAACGCCCGCTGCGCGTTTTTGCGGGCGCCGACGGTTGTCTGTTTCGCAGCGGTACGTATGTACCTTTCCGCGATCATAATATTGCTGCTCACGCAAGCACGCACACAATCATTTGCACGGGCGGGAATGAGGTCACGGACACCGATCAGCTGTTTCGAATCGTAGGCTTTAACGAATTCGTGGCCTCTTTTACCGTCTGCTTCCTACATTTATACCAATGCTCTACAGCTATTAATAAAACCTATTTAATCGTTAAGTAGTATATTAAATACATTTCAACCTTTTCGGAGACGGCGCAAAATTAAAAACTTTTCTTCTACTCGGAAGATCCTAGTTCAGCAGTTGGCAACCTATGACACGCCGGTTACCGAATGACCCATTTGATAATTTCAAGTTAACAATATTCAACGGGAGTCAACATACCCATTGCGATTTAATTACATTCACATCAAAAGTGCTGCCAACTTCTAATACAATCGTTACAATTACAAATGCTTTTTGCCGTACAGATAACGTACCGCATTTTTTCTTACGACTTATTAATTACCAAGTTTGCTATAGCGCAATGAAATCGTTATTGAGAGCATTGTATATTCGGGTGTTTTTTATTTTGCGCCGCCTCTGAAGTGGTTGAAGTGTATTTATTATATTATTTAACTATTTAATAGGTTTCACTAATAGCTGTGGAGCATTGGTAAAAATGACATGGAAATTATTTTACGCATTTCGCATTTTACCGCAAGTCAGTTGTATTTCTTGTTAAAAATTATTTTTTTTCCCTCTTTTTAGTACATCGGGTAATTTCGCGTTTTTATCGCATATCTATAACAATAACTATAAACCAAAAATAATATATTGACCGAATTTGAATGGTTAATAAACAACACATTCCACAAATTTTTGCAAGTGGGTTCATCGCGGATATATCTCCCATTAAATGTGAACGGTTTCATCGCCATTGGTACATTCTTTGCAGAGTAACATCAACGAATAGGTTTTTTTCTATAATAATAGTTATTAACAATAACAAATTCCATAAATTTTTGCAAGTGGGCTCATCGAGAAAATATCTTCTATTAGATGTGAAAGGTTTCATCACGGTCGGTACATTCCTTGCACAGTAAACGCCGAAAAAATATAAATGAAGCAGTACATTTTTTGCAATAAAAGTCGTTAGGGATGAAAAAATTCAAAATATTTTTCTTACGGGACCAATCGGGAGACACACTCTACAAGATGCAAAAGGTTTCGTTCCGATTGATAGATCCCCCTCCTTTTCGAAGTCGGTTAAAAAACTGGAGCGATACAAGGATGGGCTGCTAACTTGAAAAGCAAAAACCTTTCTAACGTGATGGGTGGGTTCAGTTGCTACGTTAGCTAAGAGCGTCATTAATTACACTGTCCAACACGAATTTTGTTTTCCAATAGCCACTGGGTGATCGTTGTAGAGCTTCTCGTCCTGAACACGAATCCGAAAACCGAACTGCTCTGTCATCCTCAGTTTTCGAAAAACACGAGTTTTCGTAAAAACATGTGTTTTGGGGGGAAAATGACCTATTATGTGGAAACTAAAAACGCTAGAACATTCGCATTGGTCTTAAAAGATAGAAGAGTGTTCTTTATCTAGCGCGAATTCTCTATACAGTACCGAATTCTGTAGACATCTCTGAAGAGGAAACTATGTGGGGTAAGTGTTGGAGCAGTATACAATTCGAGTAAATCGAAAAAATATCTGCCGGTGACGCGTGCACGGCGTTTTGCCGCCAGACGGCCATAGCTCGCTCTCCTCGGCTAGTCAGAATCGTAGATACGCGTAATCAAGACCAGTGGTCTGGTTCAATGTGTATCCAATTTTTATACTGTGACGGGTACGCGAGCCCACCATACGACCACCAGTAAGGTGCGACGTAGCGCCGCGACCGCGAGAGGGCTGCGAGCCTAGAGGTTTGCTCTTGCTAGGCAACTAAGCCGCCTGGCCGAACATAAGGCGGCCCGCGAGGCCTAGAAATAAAGTCGGCTCCGTAACAAAATCGCAAGCGTAAGCGTACTGAACACGCTCCGACGCAACCACCGATACGACGAGCCAAGCACGACTCCTTTTTGTATTCCTCTTTCCTCCACGGCTCCGCGACGGTCTGGTGAAATCCGGCCGCCTCGCCGAAAGATCGTTAACCGCCACAACACGGAAGGTCCTTGTGGCCTTCCAGCATCTTTGGCAAACCCTGACCTCCGTTCTACCCCGGCGGAAACCACAAGCAGACGGGAGAAAGTTCCTCTGACCAGGCCCGAGGAACCGCGAAAGCCAACTTATTGAGGGAACCACTGCTATGGCCACTACCGCTCCGAC